TGGCTCCTCTGTGAACCCCCCAGGCCCAATCAGCAGCTATCAACAGCCGCAGGTAATTATAGCTGTCCACCCTTCAGACCAGAACTCACCTGGAATTCCTATTGCCGGGGGAGGGAGGGGGGAGTGAGGCCAGCAGGAGTTGGGGCCTCTAATCAAACAGATACCGTTGGGTAGCTAGGGTCTGGGTCTCAGACCAAAACGTAAAATCATAACCCTAGGCTAATTTTGGTAAAACACATGCAGAAATATATCCATATGGTGTTCTGCAGTGATGGGAGTATCTAGTCCATGGTATCAATACGTATCAATACTCATATGAGTATTGACTGAGTATCAATCACTGTCAAAAAGTATCAATATTGTATCAATCAATCAATATTAATGTTGCTTAATAAATATAAAAAGTGCACGTGATTCTTCCCCATCTTTTAGATTAACTGCAGGCCATCGAAATTCCATGGTATCGACATATCAATACTTCATGTGTATTGACTGAGTATTGATTACTCTCAAAGCAAAGATACTTTAGGGTAACTTTTAGGGTAAAATACAGCGGGTCACATTTTAGTAATTCAAGTAATTCACCTTCACAAACTGAAGCGTCCCATTGTGAAAAGTCTGTCGAACATCGAGAGAAATCAGTTAAACGGGAAAAAATACATAAAAATTAAAAAGCAGTATTCCGTATTGTAGCAGCGGTGATTCCATAGTGCAGCGGTTCTCACTCATGCCTGAGATGTTGAAGGTTCCGGGGTTTGATCCCCAGAGAAACCATATGCTTAATAGCGCCTCTTGTGGCAGCTTTGTGGAATAAATAAGAGATTATTATTATTATAACCTCTGCTGGATTATTGACAGAATTTTGTGATGCTGTATTCAAATTTTGTAAAAAAATAGTTTCACCTGATTTCGTTTGAAGATTAATTGGGAAAAGCCATTCAATAGTTAAGGCAGACATGGGCAAACTACGGCCCGGGGTCCAGATGTGGTCCGTTTGGCTTTTTAATCAGGCCCACCAAACTTATCCAAATGAAGTTATATAAAATTTATTTTCATTATATTTCTGCCTTTCCCCTGCAATGCCCGGATATCCCCAATAGATGGCATAGGCTGGTGAGTCCTTCTTTCCTTTGCATATGGCCTTTTTTTTTGTACACAAAAGCACATGCAATTTTGCATATGGCCTTTTTTTTGTACACAAAAGCACATGCAATAAACGTCTTCCAGGCTGAAGATTATTTATTACATTCACAGCGTAGACTGGGAGAAGACC